TCACGGACCCATCCTGAATGGACCGCAAGTGACACAAACATGTCACATTTGTAAAAAACACACTTTACTTTTGAGTGCAGTGAATTTCCAGCACAGAGCTTTTATTTTGAAATCCTGTTTCCTGCTCTAGATCGAGTGAATAATGGAGTATTCAGTTAATATGACGATGAATGTATTAAAATGTGTGGGACTTGAACTAATGACTGAGGACAAATCTGGACCCTGTGGCTGCAACAGTTGGGAACCACTGTCGGTGGGGTCTGACATGGATAGTTAATGTGACACACCTTCAACAAGCTCCACCCACTGATGAAAACCATGAGATGCAGCTGAAAGCTCAGGAGGAAATGTATGACATTGAGATTGTTTTGTCACACAAGTGAATTCATCATCACATTGTTGGATTTCTCACTTTATTTACGATATTTTTTAAGCTTAATAATGCACCCTACTGTGTCAGTAATGCACAGAAAAATAGTTTAGTTTATTTCGGTCATTTTCCAACTTATAAAACTCAAATACGCAGGTAGATAGACAATGAAAAACATTAAGGTTAATGCTTTTTTATTATTAAAAACAAAGATAAACAAAAACAAAACAGGACTGAAAGGGTGTAGGCTGAAGACGGAGCTTATTACGTCTACCCTTTCAACATTTATTATTTTTGTCAGCTTCCTTTAAATTATACAGAACAACAAAAGAAAGTAACAGACACTAAGTATACATACATACATCATAAAGGCCTATTGTGTACCCCAAAATTCCAAATACATTTCATGTACGCTCTACATTCAGCAGCTACTTTGATAATTTAAGAATTGTTTCAGTCATTTTTAAGCAGAAATAAAGAAAACATGCTGAACACGTATCAGACATTTGCTCCGACAAAGCAAAATATTGTTTTGACATTTCCTCGATCTAATGATTAGTTTAAAAAAACAATCAGGAGCTTAATTGATAGTAAAATATTTGTTAGTTGCATCTCTAGACTGCACTTTAGTATTACTTCTACTTAATGCTTCATTTCACTGTCTTTTGTGTTTGTTTCTTTATTGTTTGTTGTTTTTTTCATACCTGTTTTTGTGTCTTAATTTTGTATTCGACCATTTCAGGAATACAATTTTGATCACAGCACAATACTAAGGACTGTGTTTGGAGAATTACACTAAATTCTACCTCAAAATGTTCTAAGTATAGACATTTACAAAATATATTTTTACTAATTTTTGGCAAATTTTCCCCCAGGTTACATTTAAACATCATCTATAATTTTAGCTCAGTTGATGTGTTTTTCATCACATTTGCATTATCAGCATTTGTTTTATTATTATTAGCTGTATCTGCGTGGTTGTGAAGATCTAAAATAGAAATATAATTCTTTAAAAAGCTCCAAAAGAAGTGTCTCCATCCATCAGCAGTGTCTACCCTGCAGTACCCTGTTTTGTCCACTGTGTGGCGCTGTGTGCCTGCAGACTGAGCTCCGCTGCTGCAGCTGCAGTGTGACAGAACAAAGTGCCATCTGTGTTTCACACATGACAGATTCTGCTGTTTATTATGAGAGAAGAAGAATTAATAAAGTCATTAAGTTAAAATAGAAAATAGATTTAAAAGCAGGTAGGTCTAAATTAGCAGTGCAGCAGTCAGATGTCCCTCTAATCCTGCGGAGGTGGAGTGTGTGCCGTGTTCTCTAAGGTTCTCTGTGGGGGCCACATGGAGATTTAGAGAACCTTTGTGTAAGGTTCTGCTGAGATTAGAGAATTATGTTCAGGCACTATCCCTCTTTATGAATTAAATGTTTACATTTCTGTGCATTGATAATATTTATGTGTGTTTAAACCAAAATCGTTCTTATAGTTCCTCAGTGGTTCTGTAAAAACCCAGCTGAGCAGGAGATCTTAGACCGAGATCCTCCAGAGGGGTCCAGTGCGGTTCGCAGGAGGTTGAAGAGTATCCAAAGGGGTTCTGAGGGTTCCTCATTAGATTCCAGAAGTGCTTGAGGCAGTTCCAGGGGTTCCAGGAGGAGGTGCTACGTGTTTTTAGCGGGTTCCTAAACATTTGGAGGAGATTCTGGGTGTTCTAAGGGAGGGTTGGGTAATTTTTAAGGACTTTCAGGGGATCTAAAGGAAGGTCAACAAGCTCTCAGAGGCACATCATGGGTTCTGCAGACATTAGAGAACGTTCTAGGAGTTGTTAAGGGATTTCCAGTGTGCTGAAGGAGGTTTCAGGTTATCCAGAGATTTAAGGAGTTCTGATTTAAGGTTCTGATCATTTTAAGGGGCTTCAGAGGATCTAGAAAAGGTGTTGGGGTTCTAAGAGGGTTTCAGAGGGTGTTGAAGGAGGCCTTTAAGGTATCTGAGTTACGTTCCAGGATTTCCAGTCAGTCACGGTGTCCCACGGGATGTTCAGAACAGGTCATCTACATGAGGTGCTGGTCGTTTTAAGAGGAACCAGGAGATCTAGAAGTGATTCAAGGAGCTTTGAGGCTTGTGTCAGGGTTCTTTCGTGGGTTCCACAGGCTTGAAGGATGGAGATTTTAAGAGCCGATAATAAGGGGCCCCAGCGTTCCAGGAGGTTCCAGGTGTTCTAAGGGAGTTTTTAGGTAATACTTAAGGTCCTTCAGGTGATCCAGAAGAAGTGTTGGGGGTTCTGAGGAGATTCAAGGGGATCTACTTAAATCCCTTATTATGGGTCTTGAGGTTAAAGGAGTACCTGGGGCAGTGAAAGGTGTTTTTAACAGGTTCCAGGAATTCCAGGGGAGTTTTCAGTAATTCTCAAGGTGCTCCAGGTGATTCAGAAGAGATGTTTTGGGTTCTGAGTTGATTCAAGGGGATTCACGTAAATCCCTTATTATGAGTCTTGAGGTTCCAGGTGTACTTGGGGCAGTGAAAGGTGTTTTAAGGGGTTCCGGGAATTCCAAGGGAGTTTTAGGTAATTCTCAAGGTGATCCAGAAGAGGTGTTGGGAGTTCTTAGAGGATTTAAGGGATCTAGAGGACGCATGTCTTAATCCCTTATTTCCGGGTCTTGAGTGGGTTTCAGGACCTCTTGAGGGGAGTCTTAAGGGACTTCCAGGATTGCTTGAATACAGGTTCCAGCTCCAGAGGAGGTTTTAACACTGACACATCATCCAGATCAGAAGAAGAGTCAGTGACACCAATAAAATAAAAAAATGAGCTGAAATGAAATTCATTTAGAAAATGAAACACAGATATGACACACAAGTTGTTAAAATTACTCGCGACCTCCTGTTGTGTGAAATGTGATAGAAAATGTTATAATTCCAATTATTTATAATTTGTAATAATCATGATGACATTTTTATATTTATTTGCAGCACCAGTTGTAGTGACATTAATGAAGTGTAACTGTATTTATTAAAGCGTTATGACTTCAGACATATTATTATTATAAGAATTAAAATGATAAAATATTTGTAATAAATAATAATTTTTACGCAGCGGACCGATGCGCCTGTTGCCGTCCGGTTTCTTATGCGGACCGTCTTCCTCTTCATCATTTTCCTCTTCATCGCCAACATGTTTGCAGCGTCTCATTGACTTTTTCTCTCCCCGCACAGAAATATTTTTCCAGGCTTTCCAGACGTTTCTGTCTCCCTGGAGGAAGGCAGCGGGCTAAAGGAGGATAAATATTTAATCAGCGCTGCTCTGGAGTTTTTGCTTAATTAGAGGAATTCTGCTTCTGCCACGAAAATGAACAAAAATGACTGCTGGAGATGTCAAAACCTCCGAAAACATCAAGCGGGATGATCAGAGACAGACAAAAATACTTTTTTTCTTATTCTTATTATTATGATGAGTAGTGTTATTGATCGAAGCTGCGAGGCCTGTTGTGTTTCATCTAAATACTAAAATTAAAGTCATATTTTAAAAGCTGTGTGAAATATAACAGTTGTATTAAAACACAGCTTATTAGCGGCTTCTCCTCCTGGTGTGTGTGTGTGCATGTGTGTGTGAGAGCGAGAGAGCGCCATATGTCCGTGCGTAAAAAAAAGCGCAAATTGGTGCCAAATTTGCGCGCCGCCCGTGTCAGTCAGCCTGAACGCGGGATGACAGAGGAGATTATTCCACATGAAACCAGTTAATCCCCCAAAATCTGAAGGAAGTCTGTGAGGTTGGAGGAAGTGAATACAGATTTCTGTTACTGATGAGGTTCAGTATTACAGTCTCGTATCCACTGAAATAAATCTGGAGCGGTTTTTTTAAAGTGAGCGGGCCTGAGCGGAAACAGACTCTGAAGGTTTGGATAAAGGAGATTCAACCTTCTGTCTGAGCTGTTGCTGCAGCCTGTCAACCTCAACAACTCATTTAATGACGGATTCACGCGTAAAAAGCCCACATCTCTTTAACAGAGGTGACAGACGCTGCCCGAGAAACAAGACTCGGTGTTAAAATCAGTGCAGAAGTGATGCGTAAATCGCTCAGGATGACTTGTGACTCTCCTGCGCTGCGGAGCAGTGGTTTGTAGACTCACCACATCAACAGATTCCCTCACATGCTGCGGGTTAAAAAGAGGTTTCAAACTTCAGACATGACTGAATATTAGACAGAAGCATCATTCACGTTCGTGCTGTTACATTTCACATGTCGCTGTGTTTATTTAGCAGTTTAAGAATGTGTCCATCATGCAGCATGTTTGCACCTTCAGCAGTCAGATCTGTTTATCTCATTAACTCTAATCTCTCCAGAGTTTTTCCTTTTTTTCTCTCCGCTTTAAAAGTTTCATTTTTTACAGTGCGCACGGCCGAACACGCGGAAACCCTTATTTGGCGTGCGTTTTGAAAAAACAATGACGCAACGCGCGACTTCCGCCAATAACACGCCAGAGGTGCGACCAGTATTCAAATGAGCTGTCCTTATTTGGAGGTGTCTCCGCCCCCTCCCGATCCACGCCGGTCCCCCGGGAGCTCCAGAGCCTCGGACCCCGGGAGAAGGAGCTCTCCGCCGGGACAGAGGAGCCATAAAGAGCCGGGGAGGGAGGGGGATGAGATTTCTCGCTGCCCAATCCCCCTGTTCCCCCGGGAGCAGCAGCCTTCCACGGTCCGTCCCTCCCTCTTGTTTGCTAATCATTTCATTTTACTCCTTTTTGAAGCGGTGGCTTGTTTTTTATCCCACTTTTCATTTTTCCACAATCCGCGGCTGCTCGCCTCCCTCTGATCCCCGGCTCTCCACGCTCCGTTCTCCCGGTGTAAGGCTCTCCGGATCCCGGCTGATTCTCGTCTCTCTCTTTCGGCTCCTCTGAGATGCTCTCCCCGCTCTCCGCTCCTCTCTCCGCCCTCTTTTAACTTCACAGAGACGCCGGTTTAAAGCCCGGACTGCTGCGAGCCGGGGCTGGGATCTAAAACAACCCCGGAGAAACCCAGAGGGATCCCGGGCTCTTCTTTGGATCAGGACCCGGTACTTTGGGGAAGCTCGCTCGTGTGTCCTCCACCCCCTCCTCCTCCCCTCCTTCTGCATCGCTCCTCTTTTCTCCACCTTAATCCAGGTGGTCCTTTGGCATTTTTGAGTGGCTGGTACAGGGAGGATTATTCTTCTTCTTCTTTCTTGTTTCTGGTGAAGACAAAGTTCCCAGAAGGACACTTTGATGTTCTCCATCCAGGACAGCCTCCCCCGGGGGGCCCTGACCATGAAGGAGGAGCCGCTCCCCACCGGCATGACCCCGGTCCGCTCCTGGATGCAGGGCGCAGGGATTTTGGACGCCAACACAGCGGCCCAGAGGTAAAAATATCACCAAAACCACTTTTCATCTCTCTGCTCCGCGGTGCCAATCGGTCCATTAATGCCACACTTAGAAAAACTCCAGCGTGAAGGTGAAAATCATGTTTGCATCCTCCAGGATCCGGGTGGAAAGTGACTTTCACGGAGGTTCAGTCCGCAGGGCGAAAAGACGAGAAAACATCAAGTTTTAAAGCAAAGTTAAAACCAATGCACCCACATGGCTCCTGCTGCTCCTGCAGACAGAGTTACAGTCACAGCTTCACTGTCAGGTTGTAATTTAAGAAAAATAACAAAACCATCAGATTAAACCGAGATGACGAGCAGTGCACGCGTTTATCTGGAAAAAGGATAAAACCACTAAAACACAGAAAAAGCTGAAAACACCGAGGTGCAAACTTTTAGTCTGAGCTGTCAGATCAGCCACTAAATCATCAGCTGACATTTTGGGGACGCTCATGGCGCCTGGTTTACTTTTTAAATTGATGCAAAAGTGACCGGACTCAAAAGTCAAGCAAAATGTATTTGGAGGGAAAAACAAAATCTCGAGAAGCAGCATCACAACATGAAATCATGTCAGTCACAAATTGTCTCTCCTCCTTTTCTGTGTAATTCAAACCAGCAGGGTTTAATGGTTTCAGCGCTGAGCCGCAGCTCTATCACACCGTCTCCCTCCTCCTCTCCGACGGATACACATCCACCAACTGCCCGGTGCGAGCGGAGACACGCGCCGAATCACTTCCCTCAGTTCACATATCTTTAAAAACCGAAAGTTAACTTGAAGTAATGTTTACATCTCCCACACCGCGGCTCTGACTATTCATTTAAACAAATCTGACATGCAGTTTGGTGCTGCACGAACACGCCGCGCGCAGAGAGCGCAGAGACGCGGCGGCAGCAGCGCGGGGCTGCAGCCGCTGCACGCGACTCTTCTCTGGGATTATTAAACTACATTTAAAGCTTATTTAGGAGATAATCATAAGAATTAATACTTCACTATTTAATGAAGCCACACAGCGATTTTCTCTCTCCCTCAAACGCCGTTTACAAATTTGCGGTGGGTTGAATTTCAGAAACGAGAATTTAAGCGATATTTTATTTATGAAGCAACTCGGGGAGGAAATAAATCAGAATTTAAGTGGATCACAGGTTAAATTAAATGGTTCTTCAGCTGCTCACATGCAGGATAAAATAACTCAACGTTTGACCTCCGTGATACAAACACGCAGCCCGGCAGACATCTGACACACCAAGTTTCACTTTGACATTAATTGATTTCAGCATTTTTTAAAATAAATTAAGTTAATAAAGTCTCACAGAATGGAAGGAATGTTTTCTTCAAAGTGGAAATATGAATGACCAAAATCATATTTTTAAAAGTAAAATAAATGTGCAATTTAAAATAAAAATAAAAATCTAATTTGAGTTTTAAAGAACAGAAAATTCTCCCGCGTGTTTGTCTCCAAACTCCAAAGTTATTTCCGACACATCATGACGTTAATGACGAGAGTTGTGAGCGCCTAAATTGCTGAAGTGTGTCTCAGGTGAGCTGAGGTGAAATTTGACCGTTTTACTGAAATAAATCAATGCAGGATTTTGAAGCGCTGTCTCGGATTTAAATGACCTGAACAGAAGAGAGAAAATCCATCAGCTGCTTCTGGTGAGGCTGAAACGACCAACGCCGCATCCATCACCTCCGGAAAGGCGCGCAGGTCAAACTTTAACATAGAACCTCCTGATCCCCGCGTGCTTTAATATATATTTAGATTTGATTCATGCAGGATTTTTTTTTCTTTTGCACAATTCTTTAAATAAATCTCTTTTCAGCTGCAAAACCTGCAACAAAAACTATAAACTAAATTAGATGCAGTTTAATTTTCAGTGTTTAAAATCTAAGTTTCACAAAGCATCAGTCAGTGTGTAAATCTGAACCCACAGTCTTGCTGCATCCTGCAGCTTAATGCACAAACCAGCCGAGTTTCTGATTAAAAACACATTTTAAGCACCTGTTTCACATCAGAAGTCATTAAAATCCAACAGTCGGGACCTGAAACAGAAACTTTATTGTTCAAATATATTCACACAAAATACAAGACAGAGACAGAAATAGACACACAGCTAACGAGTTGAGCAAAGACAGCAGAGGAAATGTAACAGCTGTGAGGTAAGAGGTTTATAAAATCATGTTTATATGCAAAAGTAAACAGCTCCATAACAAACACATTATTTTCTTGAATAACTGATTATTTCTTTGGCCTATAAAAACTCATTAAAGAGTAAATAAATCACCAAGTTGACGTCTTTAAATGTTTTGTTTTGCCCCAAACCCAAAGACACTCAGTTATCTGTTATAGAAGATGAAAGAGAGACAGCAAATATTTATATTTTAGAAGCTGCAAACACAGAATTTTGGGCATTTTTGGCTTAAAAATGACTTTAAACAATTATTCAGATATTAAAACAGCTAATATTCTGTCAATCAATTTATTGATTAATCGCCTAATCCTCTCAGCTGTAATCTGAATATAGATTAAACAGCTGGTTGTTGTGCAGCACCAACAGTGCACAAGTACACAGCTCAATAGATGTAAAGTTTCTGTATGTGCGGGGGTGGATTACGTGTCTGTTAGTGAATCATCATATCATATATACAGTACATGCAGCTTACATGTGCACGGTGCTGCACAGTGTCTGTGTTACACTTTAATATATCTGATATGCATGATGCAAAATGAAGTTTATTTCTGCAGCTCCAAATCCCAAACTTTACAGTCTGCAGAACAAACTCCAGAGTGAAGAACTCGTCGCTCTCGTGACGTTAAACGATTCAGAAAGCTGCTGAAAGTGCAATATTTTAAAGTGAAGATTTAACAGACAGGAATCAGCTCTGATGAGAGTAAAAACAATAGAAAAAATATAAAAACAAGCCGTGCATTTAAGGTAGGAAGGCAGAAAAGAGGCAAACAGAGGCTGAAAAACTTTGAGGACTCCCTCTCCGTCTTCACTTCATGAATTTAAATCTAATTGAACAAGTTTGAGGCAGAAATCGTCGTCAGAGTGTGTCGGTGTGTCAGAGCAGCGTCTCACTTCACTCTGCTGTACATGCAGAGACATTTAAAGCTCACTGCAGAACACAATCCCTCATTTAAACACAGAAAAACTGAACGTTAAATAAGTGTTTTTGACCCTGAACAGATGAAAATGAAGCCTAAAATAAATTTTTAAGGGTTTATAAAAACCTAAAGATGATTTTGGATGTTTTTTGTTTTCAGTATTTTTGTCGGCTGGTGTCAGTTTGATGATCTTGTTTATTGAGCTGCACATTTGTGTTGTTTTTTTAAAGACAAGTAATGAAACTTCCAGATAACTGAGTGAGTGTGTGTGATGTGTTTCCTGCTGGGAGTGACAGGAAGACGCTTGTTTGAATTGTGCGTGTCAAACACAAAATCAAACACCACAAATTTGCCTTAGAGGGCTTTAGGATCTACTCAACATTAGACGTCCTCTGTGTTTGAATGAAGGGAAAACTCTGGGATTAAAAAAAACTTTTAATGGCGGGAAAAGGTAGAAACAGACGAGGGGTCGCTCCTCTAGCACTGACGGACACACAGTAGATGTCACATATACAATAAGAAGAAAGAAAATGACAGTATGAAGTGAATAAAGTATGTTTTAATGTGAATATTAAGTCTAATAGGTAAGATACAGACTGTGACATCTGTTGTATAGAAACATAAAGAGCTGACAGGCTGCGTTCACAACACTTTGTCTCTTTAGTCTGAGTCCATAAAACAACAGGTTTAAAAAACAGCAGCAGTTTGTTATTGAATCAATCAGATAATCTTCAGTCCTGTTATTGATCGTTGAATCATCAGGTTGAATTAAATGTGTTGAAATGAGAGCTTTGCTTTAAACACAAAGAGCAGACGAGCAGGTGGAGCTTCACTTCTGATCTTAAACTCCTCTTTAAATTCGTATTAATCTATTTTACTGAATGCTGATATTTATTTTGACTTTTAACTTTTTAGATTTTGAAGGAAAAGCTTTAAAAATGGCAACAAGCACGTCTTTGCTTCATTTCGGGGTCACGAGAGTGGACGTTACTGACAGACTGTGTGTATTATAAATGAAGAAATACATAAAAATAAAGAGCAAATAGAAATGCAAATGTGGGAAACAGGACTGCATATACATAATCTTTGAAATCAGGAGCTTTAGCTGTTTTCTATTGTCTTTGAATTATTCCTGAAGGTCCAATCATACCAGCTAAAAAACCTCAAAGTCATTTTGACCTGCAGTATTTAGTATTTGAGATCTTTTCTCCAAGAAATAAACATTATGTCAGGAGACAAAGGAAATGCTGAACCACACTCTGGATCCACAGTGGTCTCACTAATGTATATTTCCATTTACAGTGAAGCAAAGTTCCCACTTTAGGTCTGCACTTCCAGCACCAATGGTCCATAATGTCATATATGATAATATCTGAAATGTCTTGTATATTTATATGAAGTTTCTGCTCAGCAGTAAAAATCAATCCAGACTGTTTGAATCCTTTAACTTATGCTTCAGAGAAGTCTGTAGAAATCAAGAGATTTCTCTTTGGATCATCATCTTTACCTGTAACAGCACGTCAAGCACATAATAACTCCAGACAAGATGCTGAAAGTGCAAAACTAAAGGACACTAATAATCTAAACTCATGGTAAAGTAACAACATTAAAAAAATTACAAATATTTAGGATGTAAATGCAATAAAAAAATGTTTGTAAGATGCAAATGGAGGCGTTAAAGTAGCAAAATGTCCAAACTGGGTTATGTTTTTGACGAAGTCATCGTCAGAGTGTGTCGGTGTGTCAGAGCAGCGCCTCACCTCACTCTGCTGTACATTTAGAAACATTTAAATCTCACTGCAGAACATAATCCCACATTTGAATAAATTGTGAATCAGTAACTTTGACCCTGAGCACATGAAAGTTAAGTCTGAAGCTCGTCAGTCTGAT